AAAGGTGCAGTAGTTATTAACAAGGTATAAAACATTAAAGATAGCATTTTGTAGTACAGGGCATAGCTACTTACATCACCAGCTTTTGCTGTTTGACTGTGTGGATTTTGGCTTATGTTCCTAGTAACAGGCAAGGAAGTTGATAAGAAGATTAATCTCTTGAGGTCGCTGCTTTGATTTTCTTCCTCTGATCCCATCCCCAAATGTGAAGCCCACTACATTTTTGGGCCATCATTGCATGTTCACTTCCTGCTACCTGCATATTGCTGCTTCCAGTGAGGGTCTGAAACAGTCCCCAGTCATCACTGAACATGCTGTGGTTTTGTCACAGTACTCGGGACATTCTTTAAATGTCCTTATAGCATGGGAGAATGGAAATGCCCTGAGCTTAATTACTTGCAGATGGCAGGTTTTTAGGACAAATGCTTTGTGAATACGCCTAAACCCAGGGTGTAGCAACAGGTAAGCACAATGAAAATGGTTCCCTTTGCAAATTTGTTTGAATCTCAGCCTGGAACTATAGAGGAAAGATTCATGAAAAGGCAAGCTCCCAATAATAACTTCCTTAATGACCTTGAAGCTATCTCTCTGCATAAACCATTACTAAATTACTTCTTTTTGTTCATGAACTTGGTTTAGTGGATTAACAGAAACAGGCTCAAAATCAAAATTGCCATTTTCTTTTTCAATGCCAAAAATTTGGCTGCTCTTGAATGTGGGTCAGATGCTGCAAAACACTGAGCTGCTTCTCAGTGGCACAGAGTTCACTGGCTACTTTTTGAATCAACTGAGAGCTGGGGACACAGCCCAGCAAATTACATTAGAGTATGAATAATAATTAATATTAATTGTTCCTTTGATATTAATATAATACAATGGAATGCACTAAAATGATCTTAAACTATTCAGACTATTTATGCTGACTCTTATCAGCACTGTGTGCTGAGTCCTGTCTAAGAAAATGCAGTGTCAGCTCCAGTCTTTAGGAGCTATAGGGAAATACTGAAGTATAGCCTTACACGTTACTTTTGCATAAGCAAAGATAACTTTTAATCCAGGTTCATATCTCTCTGCTTTTAGATAGAAGTCTTTTTTTTCATCTGTGCTCAATTAATGTACTTACTTATAAACCATAACCTACTGAAGGAGTAAATTCTGTTCTTGTAGATGCTGTTGTACATCTCCAATTGCACTGATGTTCACTGCAGAAGAATGAATCCAGAATTTGTCCATTTGTTCTTTACACTTTCTTTAATTGATGTTTTTATAATCTTCCTGTTCTGCTGTGAAGTAGGGATTACTAGAACTTCATTTCTTTTCCAAGAGAATTGACACAGTATCATGGTCTTACAGGTTTTGAATGCTCTGGATGAATTGGGTGATTTTCTACATCTGAAATATTCCCGGTATTCCAAGTCAGCTCATCCTGAACTGTATGAAGAAACTAGGCTTGAATTTGAAGATTAAGTTTTCCACCCATGAAGAGAACATTATGATGCTATGAAAGGGTGAAAACTCCGAAAACTAAAAAATACGAATGCATTTCTTCCCTTCTAAGGACAATTTTTATTTCTCAGTTAATTGAAAGGAGGGGAAGCTCGGGTGTTGCATCTTATTGTATCAAATTTCTGTATTCAAGAGACTGAAATATTGATACAGATTTGCCTCCCCAGGAGATCTGTCCTTCTTGCGGTATTTTTGATGCAGAATGAATGCATCCATTGATCAAGTTGCTAATGTACAGCTTTTGGTATGGCCCCTTTTATGAAGAGGCTCCAGATAGTCTTAATTGTGACTGAAATAATAAAGTTTAAAAAACTAATAGATTCCAGTGTAATACAGCTGGGCTTCATCAGAGCATAAATCAAGACATCGGTGTGGACTGCTACTGAAGAATGAGCAGAAAGTGACCTCTTTAACTATGTTGCACTATCATGCATTTCTCCAAGAACAGAAAATGTTAGAAAAAGGATAATGCTGAGCACAAGAAGAGTAGCCTGATTAGATTGTGTATTTTCCACAGCAGATTATGGGAAAGGGAAAATGCCTCCTCCCTTCCACAGACCTTTTCTTGGCCACTTAAATGCATCCTAACTTCAAATTGTACAAAACTTTGGGCTTCAGACATGAACAGAAATGCTTTTCTGCTAACACATTGAACCTACAATTTATCACATCTTATCACAACATGAGTTCTTCAGCAGCTTGCTCCCTTTTCATGGAGCAGTAGTAAATGATTTTAATAACCATTTAACTTTCCCGTAAAAGGCTTGATCAAAACAGTCAGATACTTGCAGTTCACAAACTGCAGATGACATTTATGGGCCCATTCCTAAGTTTCTTGAACTACTTATGTGCCTAATAAATTCACTAACGAGTGCGTAATGCCAAAGCTGTTAGTTATACAGAATGTGAAGTTCAAGATACCATAAGCTGTTCTGCCACCTGTTAAATAGGAAACTCCACCATTTCTACATGTGCTAAAGTCATCCATGTAATAACATTTCTTGAAATATTCTTGTCTGGTTTATGCATGTCAGGGGTTGTTCTATTTGTCTAGTTTTTTTGAGTCATTTGGTTTTCAAATAATTATAATATCATCTGAGGGGGAAGATGGCCTTGTCCCCTTGTCCTCTACCTGACTGACTAACGCTCAAAGCTACCTGAAGGAATCATTACAGCTGTCAGTTTCCTTGCAATGTCTGCAGCAGCATTGTCATCAGGCTCGTGTGGGCTGACTGGCTGGAAGGAGATCGGAGGCTTTTTCACTTTTTTTGCGGCATTGAAAAGCAGTTCTGCAGCTTTAAGAATGAACTCCAAACAATTCCACGCTATCAAATGTCATTGTAAACACATCAGATGAGAGATGTTTAGCTTTCTGTTGCACAGATGTACCACACTTTCATGTTCTCTTGAAAGCTGTGGTGTAAACTTAACCCACAGCTGCAATATTAGATTTAAGAACAGAACAATTAAATTGCAGAGTACCAATTACACTATATTACTCTCTGCTTGTTAAAGCAGCTTTCAGGATATAACAAGGCTGACTGATTATGAGGGCCCATTTTTTGTTGGATTTTTGTTGTTGTTGTGCAAGTTAATAAAAATCCAGTGGTGCTATAACTTTAAGAATTGATTACAACACATTCCATAATCTCAAATGTCAGTTTTAGGAAACATTATCAAGGGCTGGGGGAAGACTAAATGGTGTGTCATAAGATTCCTCACTTTGGTAGATGGACTTGAAAAACATTGGAGAGATTCAAGAGAGCTGTGCTCATGGATAAGAACAAACTCACTGTATAAATATTTAAATAACCAAGCACAAGACAAAAAAACCTAGGAAATGTGAACATTGTCTTTGAGTATCCTGGAAATTCGTGATGCACGGATTTGTTACATGCAGGGTGCGTGCACTTACTGTGAAGGAGATGGGTTGAGAAATTCCTGCAACCTGTTCCTTGAGGAAAAGTACTGAATTTGATATATTGTTTTTTGATCTCTATTGCTGAACATCTGTGGCCAGATCCTCAGTTGACTTCTGACCTTCCATCTTGGGGTATACAGCCATGGTTTATATTTCAGCAAACATTATTACACATACTGTTGCAGGCAATGCGCTATTTCCCTCAAAGAGAGGTCTGAGATTGATTAAACTAAGAGTGATCACTTTTTGTCCCCCTGTTGGGGAATGTTTTCAGTCTAAAGCCAAATTCTTCTGCCCTCAGAACATTACTCTCACTCATATTAAGCAGACAGGACAGCCATTTTTCACAGACTGTCAGTTGATTTATTATGTGCTCTCTTCTGATTTCTTCCATCTCTTACACATTAGAGAAAGTACAGACTGACTATCCCTGGGCTTGGGGAACAGTTAGGGAGAAATCCCTGCTCCACTGCTGCAATAATTAAACTCCCAGGAACTTCAGTCTTTTACATTTTCCCCTTGAGGCTTAGTTATAGTCTGGCTCTGGCTTTTCCGCCAGTGTGGAGTTTTTCCTGGTTTACATCAATTTTAATAGATTTAGAGTTGATCAGCATTTGGAGACTCTATTTCAGCTAGTTGAAGAAAAAAACTGATTGAGATCCTATTAGGGAATTAGCACGCCTAGCATAAGGATCACATATTTCCTACAATGTGCTCCATCTTCAGGCATGCATGGTCTTGGGAAATACAGTTCTCTGCAATTGGTTTAGAGGGTTTTGAAGAACAACTGCCTTTAATAAATAAAAAATTGCTCAAGTTGTTATAATTTAATCCAGTGGAAATATAACTCCACTAATTTTTTGTTGGCAAGCTGCATCCTGTTATCTTACATAAAATCTTGATTGACCTTTATGCTATGGGAAGACTCAAGAATTTCTGTTTGACAGACTATCTGAATTGTTCGTCTTTTCCTGTACCTTTATCCACTCCATCTTTTAGAAAGTCTTCATTTCCTGAGCTTATCAAACCTGTCAAGGTGTTTCCCTCCTCCACTTCTCCTGCCTCTTTGTATGGTTCTCTGTTCCGCTGCTTTCTGTCCTCTGGGTCAAGGGGAAACCACTCTGGCAGCCACAGAGGACCTGAAGTGCAACAGTTGGCTTCCTGGGCAATGCCTCACTGCCTGCTTTTTGTGGTATCCTCATCAGCTCCTGCAGACTTTAGTCTTTCCTTTTCAAATAAAAGTTTCCTACTGATGGTGCTAAATTTCGACTCTGAACTGAATCTGTACTGCCCAAGCCATTGAACCAAGAACAGGCTTGTTCTGTCACTTATGCAAGTGTAGATCAGGTTGAATCTTGCTTTGAAGTCAATACAGTTGGTTTAAAACTATTACAACCATGAGAGCAACCTGTCAGCATGAGGTGAGCTGCCTGCATTTATTTCAGAGGAGTTTGAACACTGGTATCTCTGGACTGTTTCACAACTGCTGCTCTTCACAAGGGACCAAGATATGGAGTGGCTTTATTTAAGGTAGGATTTCAATGAGAGGTTTATTTTAAATTTTTTTTCCAAAATGTGTTTGGTTGAATGTGCATCACGTATTTCCCTGTTCTGCTGAGACAGGGAATAAAGTAGTGATGTAAGAAAGGCAGTCTGCACTAAAGGTGTTTATATACTTTCTAGCCTGCTTAGAAATCCAACAGAGATTCTCTAATATATGATCTGTTTTTTATTTGTGCATAAAGTTTAATTGTTCTTCAAATTAAAACACAGATCAGGACCAAATTTTAAAGAAACCACACCACCAGCTGAGAAATGGCAGATTTCATGCCAATATGGGCAGCTGAACAATTCCAGCCTCCAGATGCCTTCAAAAAGAATATCTAGGAGTTTCCCTCATTTGCTCAGGCATCTGGTGTGACCACCACCCAAGTGACCACACAAAATAATAATTCAGCACCATTGGAGCAGGAGTCTAGGGTCTCAATCAGGCTGGTTGCTCAGCACATACTGAAGAGGTGAGTGTGTTTCTTTCCCCATATGTAGTGACAAGCATGCACAGCATCACTGATGGTTGTGATGCCCTCACTGAGTGTCACTGCTTGGATGCCACTGCTGGGAGTGGCTGTGGTATGGTGACAACTGCCTATGTTGCTCTGCCAGGCGTAACTGATGTGGTTCCTGGATAGGAATGACAGTCTGTCCTCTCCTTTGCAGATGCAGAAGTACATGGGTCATAGGTAACTCCAGCAGACAAGTTCCTGACAATTCAGCTCAACCAGAAGATGTAGCCATGAAAGCAGGACTAGTCTAGAAAAGTCTAGAAAATCAATTTGCAAAAGTAAGCCAAGTACTTGTAGTAACAAACAGAGAAATATTGATGTGTGTGACATGGAGCAGTGGTGTTTTCCTCTCACTTCCATTGAAATTATCTCAAAGAATTTGCTATGCACATGAGCTGACTCTAGCATCCTGTGAGTGGGCCAAGGTGTATATATATATATATATATATATATGCATATATGTTCCTGGAGCACAGAACTGATCTCTCATGCCATGAAATATGAAGTGCCATTAAGTTTGTTAACCTTATCTTTGGTACAGCCACTTCCCCTCCAAGCATGGAAAGCAGCAGGTCTGTCTTACCAGTTCAGAGCACAGCATAAAGTGGACAGCTGAGCCTGCTGGGGCCCAATGTGGCCCCATATGGTCCATGGCATGGAAGTGAGGCTGTGTTTCATGGCACGGGATGGCTTTTGCTGTGCTGCAAATAGCTTGTTGTCTGAAGTGGGTTCCTCGTACATTTACCTCTCCAGCAGCTGTTCTGGAATAGCACAGAAGTGATGAAATCAGTGGGGACATTACAAAAGCTTTTCCTGTGTGTTTCCTGGAGCCTGCTCTGACACAAGTATTCTTCTTGTGTCCTGCTCCCCCCTTGTTGTTACCACACAGACCTCGTGATGACTTGGCTCTCTGCTCTGTACAGAAACTGTTTCGTGCATCGCTGGAGATTCTACTTTCATGTGGGAGCTGCTTTTTG